GATGCAGATCTAGATTATTGTAGCATATATACCAATAAAATTGAAAGCAGCCCAGAAAATTGGCTAATAAAAGAAATATTATTGCAGCAAATCAACACATCAATACATGGAAAACTGTAAATAAAACAAGAATAGAAAGTATTGTAAACCACAATTTTTATTATAATAATCCTTTTATCAAGTTTAAAAAAAATAAAAATAAAAATAAATATATATATATATATATATATATATATATATATCACACCAGGCAAGGCTCAAGGTGCAGAATGTGCAAAGAGGCCTCTGAAACAATCCAGTACAGAGTGGCTGGTTGCAACCACTTTGCAACCACTTTGCTGGGATTGTGTACCAAGACATCTGCACAGAATATGGACTGCACCTGCCTAAATCCAGATGAGGGATACCACAAAGGGTAGTTGAGAATGAAAGGGGCAAGATACTGTGGGACTTTTACATCCAGATGCACGTCAAATACTGGTTAACTAACCTGACATTGTGGTGGTAGAAAAGGAATGGAAGACTGCAGTAGTGGTGGATGTGGCAATATCCAGAGACTAGAACAGCAGGAAGAAAGGAAAAAATACCAAGGACTGAAAGAAGAGCTAGAAAGGATGTGGAAAGTGATGGCAGTGTTAGTTCCAGTTGTGATACGACTTAAACAGCACTCAGGGTTTTGACTCCAAAGTTAGGGGAGTGGTTTTAACAGATTCCATTTGGGACATCTGAGATCACTGTTCAGAAGAGTGCAGAACTAGGAACAGCTAAGAAGCTGTGCGGAACCAAGAAATAAGTGAAAGTACTCAAATGAAAATCTACTGTAGCAGTATTAAGTGTTGACACAATAACACAACCAAAGACACTAGTATGTTCAGCAGAGTGAGATAAATAATAAAATAAGGTAAAAAAAATATTCAAAGCCATCAAATACAACTTAGTAGTGAAGCACTTTGGGCTCAAGCCCCATGTGAGGCAAAGTTTCCTGTGCCCAGTAACATAGAAACATAGAAACATAGAAACATAGAATGTGACGGCAGATAAGAACCATTCGGCCCATCTAGTCGGCCCAATTTTCTAAATAATCTCATTAGTCCTTGGCCTTATCTTATAGTTAGGATAGCCTTATGCCTCTCCCACGCATGCTTAAACTCCTTTACTGTGTTAACCTCTACCACTTCAGCTGGAAGGCTATTCCATGCATCCACTACCCTCTCAGTAATGTAATACTTCCTGATATTATTTTTAAACCTTTGTCCCTCTAATTTAAGACTATGTCCTCTTGTTGTGGTAGTTTTTCTTCTTTTAAATATAGTCTCATCCTTTACTGTGTTGATTCCCTTTATATATTTAAATGTTTCTATCATATCCCCCCTGTCTCGTCTTTCCTCCAAGCTATACATGCTAAGATCCTTTAACCTTTCCTGGTAAGTTTTATCCCGCAATCCATGAACCAGTTTAGTAGCCCTTCTCTGAACCTCTCTAAGGTATCAATATCCTTCTGAAGATACGGTCTCCAGTACTGTGTACAATACTCCAAGTGAGGTCTCACCAGTGTTCTGTACAATGGCATGAGCACTTCCCTCTTTCTACTGCTAATACCTCTCCCTATACAACCAAGCATTCTGGTAAATCAGTTTTGAAGACTAAGAGACCTGAAGTTGTGAGGCCTGCTGGTCCAACTTAGCACAAAATATAGCACAAGTGTTATCAAAAGGGCAGAAAATGTCATCCTGTGTTAGATGCAGTAGGCTCACTGTTGGCAGTCACTCTGGTAGGGAGACCATGGCGACCTTAGGTGTGCAACATAAACAAATATTGCTGGTGAGAGATAAAAGAGCTGCAATAGAGTAGACCAGGATAACCCCAACTTTCCAGGGGGCGGGTACAGGGTACCACCGAAGAACCAAAGTCAAAGAGTTGGATACCTCAAAAGAAATTGGCAAAAAACACATGAAGAGAGTCCAGCTGAAACAAAAGCAGAAAATATATACAAACATTGCTTGAATAGCTAAAATTTAATATTGAGCAGCCAACATCCAGAAGTCGGGCAACGGTCATGGCATGGCAGTCAGTCAGGCCCTTGACCTGCTCCAGCATTTATGTATTTTTATGATAGGCTCTTCTTGGTCCTCAGTACACCCCACCATGTTCTTTGCACCAATTCTAACAAATAATCCTTAGTAATATTATTACATGCTTGCAGAAGCTAGGCTAGGCCTTAATTTACATTTGCAGTCAAGCACTACCTAAACATTTAGATCTCTGAATCCTATTCTGCATTATGTATACAAGGAATGCAGAACAGCTCATCAAATGCAATTATGTGAACAGTTTTATAATATCAACAGATGTGTGAATAATACATAAGTCTGAATGGCAACGAAGAAAGCCTTATGGTCTCTGTGTATCAAGTCAAAGAAAAGTTTGGTTTGACACAATGCACTATTTTCTAAATTAGAGGGATTTTAGGAGGGGTGTTCAGGAAACCACAAAGATGTATAAGCAAAGCATTTGTTGAAATTACATTTGAATTTGAACTCAATGTGGAACATTCTGTGTTTTGATGTTTACAGGCACATTCACAGAGCATTGAATATGCTGCATGTGAATTAGGTGTGAGTTTGCCAGTGAAATGAGATATAAACTGACTTAATGGATAAACATTGCATACAAATATTTAGAGCAGGAATGGGAATTTAAGATCTACACAATCAGCCTCATAAAAAAATTGACTTAAGTTTTTAAAGGGACACTTCAGCTCATTAAAGTTGTCTGGGTGTATATTCCTACGCCTGCATAGATAATAATTTCAGTTTGTAATAAAATGCAATAAATACCTTTAAGGGTTTACTCCACCTTTAGTAGCTGTGTACCAAATTTCCAGGTCATTAGGTAACTTTTGATCGCCTAACTGACATTGGACATCCTCACACTATGCATGAGAACAATTAGTGTCACCCTAAGTATTATACATGCTTTCCTATGGCGGAAATACTAATGTGAGCACTCAGTAGTAGAGCTGAGCGGACACCTGGATGTTCGGGTCCGGCGGGTTCGGCCGAACTTTGAAAAAAAGTCCAGGTTCGGGCTCGAACTTGACCCCGAACTTGAACCCGAACCCAAACCCCATTGAAGTCAATGAGGACCCGAACTTTTGGACTCAAAAATGCCTCTAAAAACTCCTGGAAAGAGCTAGAGAGCTTCAAAAGCAAGTAAAATGGGGGTAAGAGTAGGACAAGTGCCCTGCAAACAAATGTGGATAGGGAAATCACTTAAAATAACATAAAAATTAAAAACACAGCTGAGCCATAAAATAGCACTAGATGGAATCTTTGATTTTAGTTTGGAAGAACATAAATCAAAATCTAAAGCATGGCTGTCAGGAGGATCACCAGAATTATCAATTTGAGAGAGGGTTGGAGTGCAGGGTATTCTCTTTCATTGTTCAAACTGAGCTCAAGTCCTGATGCATGGAAAAAAGGCCTTCACAAGCCTCTACTATTGTGTACATAGTTTATACTACGTGACCCATAGTTGAGGAGGCGGTGACCATGGCGGTGTAGGTGAAAGCGGCGGTGGAGGAGGAGGAGGTAGCCAACACTGTCTATATATATATATTTTTTATTTTAATTGGGGTAGCCCCTAAAATATTGGGACATACAAAAAAAAAACATTTGTGGCCTGCGGTGCATTTCTTGCAGTCCTGATGCATGGAGAAATGCTCAACTCCTGATGCATGGAGAAAAGGCATTCACAAGCCTCTGCCTCTATACATAGTTTATACTAAGTGACACATAGGTTGAGGAGGCGGTGACCGTGGCGGTGTAGGTGGAAGCAGTGGTGGAGGAGGAGGATGAGGTAGCCAACACTGTTTTTTATGTATATATATATATATTTTTTTATTTTTTTTTCAATTGGGGTAGCCCCCAAAATATTGGGACATATAAAAAAAGATAACTCTGTTCCTCAGAGTAGCTGTTGACATTATAGTTGCGCAGGCACTTTGTTGACTCTAGAGAACCTCGGGCCAATCGCACATCCCCGTTCCGGCGACTTTGCATGCGGATGTCATCCATATCAACTTTCGATGACAGTTTCTGCGCCTACCATGGTGTAGCGGATGGCATTGGGCTGTCCTCAAAATTATGTGTATTAACATGCTCTTGGTTAATTTTGCCGAATTTATGTATGTTGTATGCAGCATTCGTCTGATTGTTCGGTAAAATCACTCCAGTTATTATACGAGTGAAACTACGGAACAATCAGACCACCCCAGGAATAAGTGTGCCTCCAATTACCGTTCGCAACAATGTTGCAAACTGGTAATTAGAAATCCGTGCAGTGTGTGCTTTGTCCTCTGGGTGGCCGCCGTTCGGGAGACGAACACGTGGCGGCGGCCATCTTAAACTCCAGATCAGTGGTGTTTTGCCGTCAAGTGTCTGGAACCCAAATCGGACACTCAGCTAGGCAAACACCGCTGAGACCGGCACACTGCCATCAATTTGTGTAGAAACTACTGAACGGTTCACCGTTCAGTAGAAAGAACCCCACAAACAAGGGGGTTTATCCGAATCCTCCCCAGTCTCCATAACCCAAGCCGTTCGTGTATTTTATTCCCTTTTTCTGTAACTGACCGCAGGGCCAAAACATATGGAACCAATTTCGTCTGTTACCTCCAGCGCGATCAATCTTTTTACTACCTCCAGGAATTTCCCGAACCCCTGGTCCGATCTGGGTGATTTTTGAATATGTCACTCACCCAGATAAGGGCTACCAGGGGATGTAACATTTAGAGGTGTACCCCTATGTTTAGGGGTGCATCCAGAAAACGAGGGGAACTGTGTCCTGCATAATGGGATTATGAGTCATACTAAGGGGAGGGGATGTGTGGGTGGCAACTCATGTATGATTGGTGTACAGTATAATTAATGTGAATCCCTCCCTTGCATGGGAGAAAGCTTTAAAAGAAGGTTGAGTGATTAAAAGTTCAATTATTCTCCTGTTGCTGTGTGTCGTCCAGTCATTGGGATCTGTATTGGGATATTCGTGGATTACCTTACTTACTGTGACTGTTGTTCTATGGGATTTTATTACTTGTTCCTGAGCCTCACTGGGACCTTTAGTGGAGTTAACCTGTGAAAGACCAGCTCTCCGCTACACATGGTGACCATGGGTAATGGGGAATCAGGGTTCCATTCCATACAGGGACCCTGAGAAACAGCTACCACATGCAAGGAAGGCAGCAGGCGCGCAAATGACCCCCTCCCGACATGGGAAGGTAATGACGACAAATAACAATACCGGACTCTTTAGAGGCCCTGTAATTGTAATGATTCCACTTGAAAACCTTTAACTCTGATCAATTGGAGGGAAGTCTGGTGCAGAGCGACTGACCCGTGCGTGCTGCAGCTGAAACTCCACTATTGCCTGCTGCTGCTTGCACAGTCTCATGAGGCCGTGAGCGGGAAGGCCGAAGTTATGCTGCAGCGCAGACAGGAGAGCAGCAGCAGGGTGACAACGCCAAAAGCGCGCAGAGCTGCTACAGTGAATGTCACATCCTGTTCCAAGTTGCAGATCAGTCTGGTGATGGCTTCTGGTATCCAGTACTCTTTTTACTGAAGCTGCACCAGGGTCCTGGTATGAAGCCGCACAAACGCTGGTGCTCAACACCATGGGGCGTGCGGTTACCCTGCACAAGACACTGCTAATCCATTCTACACTGTGACTCCTAACTTCAACATCAGGCATACTGGGTCCCGGTCATCCGACTGCCGCCCAGTAAGTGTCTGGGTCCTGGTCACTGGACTGCAACCTGACTGTGAAACTACGAATGGATCCTTATATCTGGTACAATCCAGTTCGGGTTCACTCAAGTCTATTATGGATCCTTTGATCACTACATGTATTACTTGGATAACTGGTAATTCTCGAGCTAATACATACCGACGAGTGCTAGGAGGCAGCAGCTCCACTTTTGCACCCTGCTCCCTTTTATGCTGTGCTGGCGCCTCTGTGCGACCAGGGCCACTTCTTCCAAACTACACACGTCACTCGCATGACCTTGATTCCATGTGGGGTCTAGGACCTCATCATCCTCCACATCATCTTCCACCCACTCCTCAACCCTGCCCTCCTTGCCGGTATGCACACTGCAGAAAGCCACAGCAGTTGGCACCTGTGTTTTTCCAGCATGTAAAGTCTGCAAAGGACATATGGAAATTGTTTTAGAATTGTATCGAGGCAACAGTTTTCCCTATAAACTGACCTCTCAGTTTGACTTGTGAGGGTATTGCCCAGAATTACAATATTGTTTAAGTACCTCTTAGCTATTGATAACTGGTTTAAATATAGCAGCTTGTTATCTGGTAGTTTCTAGTGTAGAAAATATCAATCTGTTTTCTATCACTTAGATCTGTGTAACAAGTATTGTAGGTGTGAAACAATATTACAAGTGACCGATGTAGTAAATTCAAATCAAAGTTACGCTTCGATTTGACTCTCAGATATGAAGTGAGCACCCCAAATATACTATTTAGCACCAAAAAAAACCTTTTTAAAACTCCAATGTAAGCAGCAGATTAGCAGCAAAACAATTAGAATGTTTACAACTGCGCAGTAAGCGCACTATTTGACACTTCTATTTGACTCTCAGATATGAAGTGCACCGCAGACCCCAAAATGTACTATTTAGCAGATTAGCACCCAGAAATTTAGAATTTTTACAACTGCGCTGTAAGCACACTATTCAACGCTTCGATTTGACTCTCAGATATGAAGTGCATGCCCCAAAATGTACTATTTAGCAGATTAGCACCCAGAAATTAGAATTTCTACAACTGCGCTGTAAGCACACTATTAGACGCTTCGATTTGGCTCTCAGATATGAAGTGAACACACCAAATATACTATTTAGCACCAAAAAAAAACTTTTTAAAACTCCAATGTAAGCAGCAGATTAGCAGCAAAACAATTAGAATGTTTACAACTGCGCAGTAAGCGCACTATTTGACGCTTCTATTTGACTCTCAGATATGAAGTGCACCGCAGGCCCCAAAATGTACTATTTAGCAGATTAGCACCCAGAAAATTAGAATTTTTACAACTGTGCTGTAAGCACACTATTAGACGCTTCGATTTGACTCTCAGATATGAAGTGAACATCCCAAATATCCTATTTAGCAACAAAAAAAAATGGACTTTTTAAAACTCCAATGTAAGCAGCAGATTAGCAGCAAAACAATTAGAATGTTTACAACTGCGCAGTAAGCGCACTATTTGACAATTCTATTTGACTCTCAGATATGAAGTGCACCACAGGCCCCAAAATGTACTATTTAGCAGATTAGTACCCAGAAAGTTAGTATTTTTACAACTGCGCTGTAAGCACACTATTAGACGCTTCGATTTGACTCTCAGATATGAAGTGCACACCCCAAAATGTACCATTTAGCAGATTAGCACCCAGAAAATTAGAATTTTTACGACTGCGCTGTAGGCACTCTATTAGACGCTTCGATTTAACTCTCAGATATGTAGTGAACTCCCCAAATAAACTATTTAGCACAAAAAAATTGACTTTTAAAACTCCAATGTAAGCAGCAGATTAGCAGCAAAACACTTAGAATGTTTACAACTGCGCAGTAAGCGCACTATTTGACGGTTCTATTTGACTCTCAGATATGAAGTGCCCCGCAGGCCCCAAAATGTACTATTTAGCAGATTAGCACCCAGAAATTTGAATTTTTTCAACTGCGCTGTAAGCACACTATTAGACGCTTCTATTTGACTCTCAGATATGAAGTGAACACCCCAAATATAGTATTTAGCACCAAAAAAAAAAAAGATTGACTTTTTAAAACTCCACTGTAAGAAGCAGATTAGCAGCAGAACAATTAGAATGTTTACAACTGAGCAGTAAGCGCACTATTTGATGCTTCTATTTGACTCTCAGATATGAAGTGCACCGCAGACCCTAAAATGTTCTATTTAGCAGATTAGCACAGAGAAAATTAGTATTTTTACAACTGCCCTTTACGCACACTATTAGACGCTTCTGTTTGACTCTCAGATATGAAGTGCACACCCCAAAATGTACTATTTAGCAGATTAGTACCCAGAAAATTAGAATTTTTATGACTGCGCTGTAAGCACTCTATTAGATGCTTCGATTTAACTCTCAGATAAGGCCCTGGGAGATAGTGCAGCTAAGCGGACAAGGGCACATGTAGGAGTGTGGGGATAGATACAGGGGAGGGACTTGGGAAGTGTGCATGGGAGGGGTTAGGCTTAATGTAAGTTAGTGTGGGGGAGGTCTTACCTCAGTGCCACTTGGGATACGGGCCAGCAAACAGCTTCTTGTCCTCCAGCTCCTGTTTGCCTGGGCCTGCAGATTGACACGGCTTGAGGTGATGGATATTGAAGCGATCCTGTCATCCCTCAGGACTGCTGCTGCGCTGGATGGTGGCCGGCAACTGAGGGAGCAATTTCAACACATTAGTGGAGGTATGGCTGCCGGTGTGGGCACCCCCCGTGGCCTACCCTCCCCTGGAGCACCCCCTGCGGTCTCCCCTGGTGCCTCCCATGCGGTCCCTGCCCCTGGGGGCCGCACCAGCACTGGCAGGCGTTCCCGTCCGCCTGCCAGGCTGTCACTGGATGCCACTCCTCGGGCCCGGTTGAGGAGCAGGAGGCCGGGCCCGAGGCATCGCCAGAACCCCAGACACGTGGCCAGCTAATGGAGGCCGGATTCTGCGGCCTACTGCGGCCGCGCGGGTGGCACGGCCTTCAGCCACGAGGCCTGCCACCCCCCGCGTGGCCTGCACCCTCCTGGGCCGCCCGGCTGGCTACTACCAGGCCGGGGATGCGGCCTGCAACGGCCGTGCGGCCTACTGATGCGGCTGCCGCGCGGCTTACTCTTCCTCCCCCATCCACACCATCCGCCCCGGCCGCCGTTGGAGGGGTAGGGCGGATACTGCTGCAGTTCATGGATCCGTCCAGCAGGTGGCGCCTGGAACACAGCTGATGTCTTCTGTGGCTGCTGGAAATGCTGATTCTTTGCCTTCTGTGAGCGCAGCACTGGGCTTGGATCGCCAGTCTGCGACCGGTAAGTACTTTGTTCCCTCCGCTTCTGTCGCTGCGAGTCCCGGGTTGGGAGGGTTCCTCTCGGGTCTTAGGGTTTTTTTGGATCAGTGGGAGCAGGGGATGTTGGTTAGTGGGGGCGCTTCGGTGGACAGTCAACTCCGGTTGGCTTGGTCCCCGGCCCTGCTCCCTCCTAATGCTCAGGCTTCTCCCCCTCCTGGGCCTCTTCTCGGGATGGGGGGCACTACGGTGCCCCTGGGTTCCCCAGCACCCGCGGTGGCCAGTGTGGGCGCCGCCTCGGTTGATACTGGTCTCGTAGGGGGAGTCCCGGACGTAGCGCGGGGTGCGGCTTACATGTGCTGGTCTGGCCCTCTGGGCTTGCACTTGAAGCAGGAAACGAAAGAAAAAATTTGGAAAGGGGAATTTGTGGAGATATTTTCTCTCCTGCCGCTGGAGGAAGCTCCTCCCGTGGCGGACAAGGACAGTAAGGAGTCGGAGAAGGATAGGGAGAAGTACCTTTTTCCGCAAAATTCCCAAGACCTTTGGGAACTGGATTCGGGCATTCTCTATTTTAGCCAGCGTGGTTGGGGAAAAGTTTCCCCACAAGTGCTCCGCGCTGTTCTGTTACCAGGACACGATCTGGAATGCTTGTCGCACCTATGGGGGGCTGGGTTGGTGGAGATACGACAAGCAGTTTCGACAGCGGCTGGCAGTGCGTCCCTCGCTGTCATGGGATCAGATGGATATCGGCCTCTGGCTTTCCATCATGACTCGTCCAGCCCCTCAACAAGGCGCCTTTTCGTCCTTTCTTGGGGGGGCCGGTGGGGGCGCGACTTCCTCCTCATCGGCCTCAGGTCCAAGGTCTGGCTGTTGTTGGAGGTTTAACGACAGTCACTGTAAATGGGGGTCTTCCTGCCGGTTTAAGCACGAGTGCTCCGGCTGCGGCGGAGCCCATTCCACCTCTCACTGTTTTAAGCGGGGAAAAACGGGTGAGAAAGGGGACATGGGGGCTAAGGGCGACGTCTCCGGTCCTTGTAAACGCGATTCGCCCGTGGCTCGACCTTTATAGGAATCGGGCCACGGCGCGGATCTTGGTGGAGGGGTTCGAGCAAGGGTTTTGGATCCCGTTCTCTGAGCGCCCTCCGCTGCTCTCAGTACGCAACCTCAAATCGGTGCAGGCTTTCCCTCAGGTGGTACGGGAAAAATTGGATAAGG